CATCACTCTACTCCTCACCCCTTACACCTATATTTATACATAAGAAACATGGGCTTGGTGAACATGGGCTGTAAATAGGTTTACGGCCGTAAACACAACCGTAAACACCAAGCTGTTTACGGTCCAAGACACAAAAATACATTTTCCTAGAAAAGTAAGTATAAACCATATTTTTGACCCAACATAATTATTTCATCGTTTATGGTCGTTATGTTTTTGCATCGTTTACACGTATACATTATTGAACCGTACATGGATACTACAATGACAATGAGTTATAGGAGCATGATTATGTCTTAAGCAGCCCTAAACAGCCGTTGAATGTCGGCCCTGAACAACCGCTGTATGTCGACCCTAAACAGCCGCTGAATGTCGGCCGTGAGCAGCAGTCTCCGGTTATTCACCCATCGGATGTAATAGAAATTCCGAGGGATGATTACAAAACACCGACGTAAGCAACTCTTAAGCGTTCTAAACGCCTAAAAGTTATGTCCATATGGTATAAGTCGCCATGGATACAAATAAAGAGGAAATGTGTTACACGGAAACAACCAGCACCATTGGACAATCTTGTAGATCATACCGTACACATTGTATATAAAGAACGAGATGGTTTGCTGTTGTGTGCTCATAATTATTTGACTAGTTTTGCTACGCTTGAGTTTTGGACACGGTTATATGCGGATAGTCATGGAGGATGGTTGTCATGTGATGTATGTAATATAATTATTTGATTATTACATACTACACTTCTAATAATAATACTCACTTTACTACAAAAAAATTAATCATGATGTGGATCTCATTGCTGCTAGAGCGTAGAGCGAATGATGCTCGATGGACGGTGGTGTCGTCGACTTTCAACACCGATGCATATGACTGTAGTGACATGGTTGACGGATCTGTTTACCCAGCGTGGCAGAGTGTGATACGATATAATTTTGTTTGGATTACATTATCTGAGTATTTATATACTAATTAATTATTTCTAACCTTTTTGTAGCTTTACATCCCAATCAACATACCACAAGCTCATTGGTTTTTGGGTTCTTTGGATTTGAAGACATTCAAAATGACTATATACGATAGGCGGTGGAAAGGCGGCTACTGTTCGGAAAATGAGGATTGGTTTATAGGTCTGAGATCCCGCATCCACAAACTGCTAGTGGGAGTCAACTATTGGGGTACTGAACCAACTGATTCAATCCCACTTGAGAGCTTCAAGGTGACCCTCGAAAAGGCCCCAGACGTACCACAATAGATTGATAGCAGAGAGAACTGTGGGGTGTTTTTGTGTTGGTTCTTGGAGGCGTTGATCACCGAGAAATCGATTTATATAGAGGGTAAAACCACCGGTCCATGGGCTATGGGTTATAGAAAACGACTAGCGGAAATGTTTTAGGGTACAATGACAAAGATAATTTAAACATCGTATTTGTAATATGACCTACAGACATATCCTTTATTTAGTTTATGTATTTAATAGTTGATTGTTCATTTTAATTGAATTTATATATTTTATAAAACCAAAATTTATATATTTTAAGAAAGCAAAACTTATACATTTTATAAAAGCAAAACTTACATGCAAAAAAAAAAGTCAAATCTATTCCGGAACCATGGTCCGGAATCATAATCCAGAATTCCGGAGACATCTCCAGAACAATGTGTTTCGGAAAATGTGGTTATTTTACCAAAAAAAAAAGAAAGAAATTATGGTCGTTTTTGTCAAAAAAATCGTTTATAAAGGTTAGATTACTCAATTTCCCTATATTTTTTTTTTGGTGTAAATTCCATATTTGAACATGGTTTCTTTGTCTTTAAGATAAATATAAAGTAAACATAAAAGTAAAACTATTATACTTCATTATTTTGTAAACAAAAAAACTTAATTTGGATCATGTAGGTTATCTCGGTGTCTGACTTTTCTTAAAAAGGATACTGTTACTTTCTAACAGGTTTTTGGTCAATCTCATGAACGCTACCACAAATCATTATACAAACATGTGATTCTCATTAACCGATGATACTTTCAAAATGGTATTGAATTCACTAGCAATTTATCTCTTACTTGTCTTTCTTGCATGTTCTTCGACTCTTGAAGCCTCCATTAATGGCGGAGGATTAAGATTCAAACAAGAAAACCCAATCAAAAGATCCGATTTTCCACCGGGGTTTCTATTCGGAGCAGCCACTTCTGCTTATCAAGTAAACTTTGACTCTGTCTATGTTTCCTCTTCACTGATTTGAGCTATTTTATACCCTTAAACAGTAAATCCATACCCTCTTTTTGTAGGTTGAAGGAGCGTATCTTGAAGATGGCAAATCAATCAGCAACTGGGATGATTTTTGTCATTCCAAAGGTTAATCTCGTTTCTATTGTTGTTTCGATTCGTTAATTTGTAAGTCAAATGTAACCAAAAACCGCTGCCATTGTTAGGGTGTGGAGAAAATGGTGAGAATGGGGATGTTGCAGATGATCACTACCATCTGTTCTTGGTAACAATCTTTACTTGCTCCTCCATTGTTACTGAATCAAGAACAGTTTCTTTTTCTTTTTCTTATTTGATTTGTTCTTTTTTATACAGAAAGACATTGAGATTATGCATTCGCTTGGCTTAAAAGCATATCGATTTTCCATTTCATGGGCTAGAATTCTTCCAAGTAACTTTCCAATTCCTATGTTCATCATCCATATCTCATGTTCATAAATCTTTTAAATGATATTATGTTTGTCATGAATCTTTCAGGAGGAAGGTTTGGTGAAGTTAATCCTCTGGGAATCATGTTCTACAACAAAATTATCGATAATCTTGTACTCAAAGGTGAATCTTGATGCATTTTAACTTTCTCTTTCATTTCCAAAACTCCAAACTTGTTTCTTTTCTAAATCCAAACACCTTTCTTGATTACACAGGAATCGAGCCATTTGTGACAATTCACCATCAAGATTTCCCTCAAGAACTCGAAGAGAAATATGGATCTTGGCTTGACCCTCAAATGCAGTATGTTCAACTTACCACTTTACTAACATAATCAACCTAAATATCCGTTTATTCGGTTATTAATATTCTCTTTCTCTCAGGGACGATTTTGTACATTTTGCAGAAATCTGTTTCAAGAGTTTTGGAGACCGAGTAAAGTACTGGATCACAATCAATGAACCAAATTTGTTTTCAGAAATGGCTTATGAAAGAGGGACATATCCACCAGCTCGATGTTCATACCCTTTTGGCAACTGTCTTTCTGGGAATTCTGATGTTGAGCCTCTTTATGCCATGCACAACATGTTATTAGCCCATGGAAAGGCTGCAAAGCTTTATCATGAAAAATTTCAGGCAATTCACAAAGTATTAACTTTGTTTCATGAAACTAGTCTTTTTTTTTTTTTTAAAGATTCATAATCTTTTATCTTTTGTTCATGCAGCCAAAACAAGGAGGATTAATAGGATTAGTTATACATTGCTTTATGTATGAACCACTTACAGACAGTGATTTGGATCGTGAAGCTGCTGAAAGGGCTATGATATTCAATATTGGTTGGTAATATTCAACCATATGTAAAGTTGTAAACTTTAAAGCTTTAGTTTACTAAAAAAGAAAGAAAAAGTTTCAATCTTGAATCTTGAATCTTGAATCTTGATATTCTTACTAGGTCGTTTGATCCACCTATATTTGGGGATTACCCTAAAGAAATGCGTGATTACCATGGAAGTGAATTGCCAAGATTCTCCCTAGAGGAAAAGAGTTTTATGAAGAACAGTATTGATTTCATTGGAATCAATCATTACTCAGCTGTATACACCAAAGATTGTACAAATTCAAGCTGCTTAGAAACTGCTAATCGTTTAATCAAAGGTTTTGTGGAAATTACTGGAGAACGTGATGGTGTGTGGATTGGTGAACCGGTTAGAATATATGTCAAATTTTTTGTTTTATCAATTTGGTGAAAATTACGTCTTTTACCCTTTAATTGTTATTTGAAATGATTGATTTTGCATTCAACAGACATCAATGCCAAGATTTTTTGTAGTTCCTAGAGGAATGGAAGAGATTGTTGACTATGTCAAGACTCGGTATAATAACAGACCAATGTTTATTACTGAAAATGGTATGTTCCCTTGTTATACATGAAATATCAATGTACTTTTTTTTTTTTTAATTTCTTTAGTTTCCTACATTCATTTCTTCCTATATTATTCAATGAAAATCTATCTAATTATAGCAATGTCATTCAAACACAGAGCAATTTTTACTTATGTAGTTGGGTAGTTATTTGAAAGTATAATGTATTAATAAGTAAAAAAAGTAGAAGTAAGATTTATAATTTAGTAGATTTGTCAAAGTATGTCTTCATAAAAATTGAATGTGCAATGATGTAATAGAAAAAAATGAAAACAATTTAATGAAAGTACGTTGCTATTTCTTGTCTTTAGCCTAATTGATTATGTTATTTAACATTACTGAATTTTGTATTTTTTTGTTCAGGGTATTCATCACCAAACATACATGATGTACAAGTTGAAGAGATTCTGAATGATGTCAAGCGAATTGAATTCCATCAGTCATACCTTGCTTCTTTAGCCAAAGCCATAAGGCAAGTTTGGTAACAATTTTGACTTTTAAGTCAAACTGACTACTTTTCATTTTAAAATTTGACGTTCAATTCATCAAAGTCATTTTGAGAAAACCAGAGACTAAATTGACTTGATGATAAAGAACAAGAAAAGAAAGAGAAGATGTTTATAAATTTTAGTTGTATTCATTTCAATTCTATACTTGAAAAGTAGAAAGTTTGACTTTGACCATGAAAGTCAAAATATCATTTGTTTATCTTTTGGAACAACAGGAATGGAGCCGATGTCCGTGGCTATTTTGTATGGGCATTGATGGATAACTATGAATGGACATTCGGTTACAATGTAAGATTCGGTTTACATTATGTTGACCACAACACGTTTGACCGAATACCCAAATTGTCAGCACAATGGTATCAAGATTTCTTGAAAAACAACAGTTTGCTTGATAATCCATCCATCAGAACTCTAGAATCAGTGCAAAAGCAAGCAGATTTATGATGTTTGATGTGGGAATCGATGCTTGTTTGTAATTTTAATTAGTACATTACTATATTTATATATAATTGTTGCGATTTTCTTGAACATAAACGTTTGAAAATATGATATTACATGTGTAAAAAGCTTTTATGCATAGAGTACATCATATTGTTGATATTTGAAGCTAATTACCTGTACCAAATTCATATTCATTGACAACGACATTAATGTGAATACAAAAACCAAAAAATGATGTAAATAATGTCGATATTAGCTTCTGATAAGTTATAGCTTATTTTTCGAGTTTTTTTATATTGTTGTGTTTGGCAAGCTAAAAAGTAGCTTATAAGCTAGCTTTTTGAAAAGCTACGTAGACTAGCTTTTTAGGAGCTTTTTAAAAATTCTTCAAATATACCCTTAATTAATTATAGAAACATATACTCTTAAGCGTCATTTTATTAATTTTATATATTTCAGCTAACTTTTCAGTTAGTTTTACCAAACGTTATTTTTTGTTAGCTAGTTTTTCAGCTATTAGCTAACTTTTTTATTTAACAGCTAGTTTTTCAGCTATCATCTAGCTTTTCAGCTAGTACGTCAAAGATAGCCTAAACGTTATCCAGTATGATATTTCAGCATAACAATGGTGATTCTCGTTGTTGATCTCGATCAAGCTTAGAGGGTCTCTCCTTACAATGATAGTATTGGGTAGATTTTTCAACATACACCCCCTTGATAATAATAAAAAAATAGATATACAGTTATCTCATAGCAAAATTAAAATAGGATGCTATACTACACACATAAATGAAAGTATGTTACTATTTTACAATGATGTAAAAGTTGTTAGGCAGCTAAGTCGGTCGACTAAATTCGTTAAATTTTAAAAATTAAATATAACTAATAATATAACAAAGCTCACAAATCCCACTAATATCGTAACAAAATAGGTTAATACGATTAACACAACATTAATCATTCATCAAATAGTTTCTAACGACTAGGATTAGTTGGCCTAATTGGGTACCAATCAGAGACCCTACAATGTAAATTTGTTAAATTTCAAAAATTGAATATGACTAATAATATAATAAAGTTCGTAAATCTTACTAATATCATAACAAAATAGATTAATATGAGGAATACGACATTAATCAATTATTAAATAATTTCTATTGAGATAGAACTTCTTCAAAATGTTAAAAATTCACGGGTTTCTACAGCTTCACTTATTGTTTAGGCAGAGATTAATTACTAGACATCTTCTAGTCGGCCGGGTGGCGTCTAGGGACTAATAGGAGATTAATCGAGATTTTTACAACACTGCTATTTTGTGCATTTAACCCTGTTGATTATGTTATTTACAATTTTACATCACCCATTTTTGTTTGAGGGTATTCATTATCAAATGTACACTGTCAATGGGACTGAATAATATCAGTCATACCTTGCTTATTTAGCCAAAACCAGAAGGTAAGTTCGGTACAATTTTTACTTTTAAGTCAAACATAATATTCTTCTTCATAAGAAATTGATGTTAAATTCATCAAGTCATTGCAATTTGCAAGAAAACCTGTGACTAAGTTGAAGTTATGATGGAAAATACAAAAAGAAGATCATTTTGTTAAATTCTAGTCATAGTCGTTTGATTCTATACTTGAAAACTAGTCAGTTTGACCACGAAGTCAAAATTATAGTATTAAATTTTATTGGGAACAACAGGAATGGAGCCGATGTTTGTGGCTATTTCGTGGATAACTACAAATGGAGGTTCAGTTACAATGTGAGATTTGATCTAAACTATGTTGACCAAAAAAACGTTTGATCGGAATACCAAAATGTCAGCAAGATGGATCAAGATTTCTTGAAAAACAACACTTTAATTGATCATCAATCAATCAAAACTCCAGAATCACTGAAAAAGCAAACAGATTTATGATGTTCGATCGATGTGTGAATCAATGCCTGCTTGTATTTTAAATGGTACATTACTATATTTATATATACTTGGTAACGATTTTGTCGCGCACATCAATGTTTGTAAACACCGTATAAAATGAAAGAAAAGCTTTTATTCAATTCATAGGTTACACCATATATTACATGCATGCACCATCATATTCCTTAACAACAATACTGTGAATAAAAAAATAAAATAAATCAATGTAAATAATGTCAATATAAGTTCTCATGAATGGTTATTTAGTATAAGATTTGAGCCTGACGAGTAGCATGCTTCTCATTTTCTATCTCGATCAAGCTTTCTTTCACCAACTCTGTTGCATATGTTACCACGTCCGACCAATTCCTGTAATTTTATTCACCAAAATAAAAACCCGTTAATCTTTAAGCAAAAACCAGAAATTTTGAAAAAAATAATGTTTAAAATGTCGAAAATACCCTTTGGTTGTGTTGAACGCGAGTCCTACGGTATTCTTAGCCTCCTCGATAGCATAACCGAATCTTTTGATCTCAGACCCTGAACATATTTTGTTATCCGAAACCCGAAGCTCGGAGGGTTTCACATCACAAAATATGGGAATAACTTTCTTCCCGGACTCCATCATCAATGCGAGTTCATGAAGGCAAAAGTACGATTGACAGTATCGTGGTGAAAAGACTGCTACGCCAATCTTGCACCCCAGTATTGCACTGTCGATATTCTCAAAGAGCTTATCACCAGGCTTCATGTTCTTGTTGTCAAGAAATGATGGAATTCTTGACAACAAGAGTTGATGATACAACAAAGATGCAATTGATCTCTTTGTGTCTATGCCACGGTGGTTTATGAAAACATCGCAAGCGGGATGACTTGTGGGTCGGGCTTTTTGGTATGCCATTTGGCGCTTGATTATGTTCAACATGGCTGAGCGTTGCATGGTTTTAATTTGTTTTAGTATTTGAAAGCTTGTGTTTCACGTTTGGTACGATTTCTAAATGGTGGTGCCAAAGGTTTCTATTTATATAGGTATGTCTTTATATCTTGTGGGCCATACTAAATTCTTAAAGCGAATTTTTTTCTCCATTTACATATGCAACAGTATCCTCAAATACTGTGGACTTGGTACACAGTCGACCGATTTAGAATGTATTAGTGTATAGGTCAAGAATATCTAACTTATTTGGATTTTAAGGTCTTTTTAGAAGAGATTACAGTTAAAATATAGTTATTGAGTCTTTTAAAAAGAAAAATAACGGAAACAGTTGAATGAATCAATGTCGAGGCATTAGAATTGACAGGAGACAAATCGACAAACGACGGTTTGAATGTTTTTCAAGTTCAAATGCATGGATCGATGGAATTTCTAAAGACCCTTCAAAGACGTTTTTCACCCATTTTGTGTTCATACTCCACTATTCTATTATTAAATTCATTCTAATTTTTACATATTCACTTGGATGACAGAATTTGACTTTGACATTTTTTTACTGGCAAAATATTTTCTGATATACATATTGGGATCCTCATCAAATACCAACAAGCGTGAAAATTGTCGGGTTTATTCAGTTTAATTGGATAACATAAATAAATTAGATATTTCAGGAAAAAAAAGTTACAACTTTTTGGAACATCATTTATCATAAAAATGGTATAGAATATACGACAAATGATACATTCAGTAGCAAAGGTTTTGATTAAGGAGTTATTAGCACACAAAGTTTTTTTTATAAATAATAATTTATGTTATATTGTTCAACTCTATAAAATATAAATTTTAGAAAAAAAATATTATGTATGAATCACTCCCTTTCCTCTTGTTAGGGTCGAAATGTTGTAATAGTCGAAGTTTGTATTTAGGGTCTTCGAACATTTTTATAATGTATT